GCTGGTGGGGAGGGCACTGCCCAGGGGGGAGACAGCACCAAGGTCGTGCAGCTGTAGCCCCTGGAAGGAGCTGTCTCCAGAACAGCACAACCCTCACCAACCACGGTCAGCCCCGGTAAGCCCCCCGAACCTCCCACCCTTCTTGATAGCCCTGCCCTGAGCCCTGCACCCCATCCCCTGCCCTGAGTCCTGCACCCCATCCCCTCTCCTAAGCTCTGCACCCCATCCCATCCCCTGAGCCGTCTAACCCCTGCCTTCACTCGAACCTTCCAGCCCTGCCTTAAGCCCCCCCCACACCTCCCAGCCCCCAGCCCTCACTCCTGCACCACTGCTCTGTGGAGGCAGGAAAAGAGAATAAGGGAATTTGTGGGCAGCCATCTTGGTCTTGTTAACAAGAGAGCATGAGTCAGGCTAAGTCTGTGGCCTGACAACGCGAGAGCTGTAATCAGACCCTGCCTTTGCCTCTCGCCTCCATACGGAGATAAGGACAGAACGCTGACTCTGGCAGAGACCTAGGGATAAGGAGCATCTGGGTGGAACTAAATAACTGTTAGCCATTGGTGTTTGTAATGGGAAGGAGACTAATTGTTATTGTTATTATATCTAATAGACAGTATAGAAACTGCTTCATAATTGCTTGTATTCGAAGATCTGCCTCGGAAGGGGGGCTCCCCCTCGTCCTAACCAGTTTTTCCCTTGCTGCAGCTCGTAATAAAACTGCCTCTGGCTACTTGTTGCTTAAACACAACGCAGAGTGAAGGCTTGTTTTCTTCCACAGCCCCTGCCCCTGCTGCGCCCTCCCCAAAGCCTTCCCTGATTCCTCCACCCCAACCTGAATCCTGCACCTCAACACTTATCTTGACTCCTGCACCCTGCGCTCCCAGCTCTAAGAACCCCACACTCTGCCCTGAGCCCCCCACAGCTTCCACTTTCTGCCAGACTCCCAGCCCCCCCCAACTCCCTCATTTAAATAAGGGATGTTCATTCAAATATTGGAATAAATTGCCAAGGGAGGTGGTGGAATCTGCCTCTCTGGAGATATTTAAGAACAGGTTAGATAGACATCTGTCAGGGATGGTGTAGACGGAGCTTGGTCCTGCCTTGAGGGCGGGGGGCTGGACTCGATGACCTCTTGAGGTCCCTTCCAGTCCTATTATTCTATGATTCTATGATTTTCATTTGAATTAAACAACAACAACATTACCACAGTGAAGGATCCAAAGAACTCCATGGACATCTGCCAATAGATTAAATAAAGTCACACCCATATTAAACTAATAATTTAAAATGGAACTCAACCAGACCCTTTTTAATCCTTTATTGCTGGGGAAAGGAAAACCTCCCGTCTCTCAGAGAGATCTTGGATAGATGACAAAATAAACAGATTCCCCCAAATTCCTACCCCAGAAATCTCATTGGAACAAAGAAACAAGTCAGCGAAGGGACATACTCCAAAAGGAAAAGGCAAATACAGAAGCAAAACTTCTCATACTGCAACCACAATTATATTCCAAAAAAGAGAAGAGGCCGAGATTTCACGAAGACAACTAGTGACTTAGCTGCGGCTGGTGATCTATTGTGCAAAATCGTAGAGTCTTAGAATTCTAGGGTAGGAGGAGACCTCAGGAGTCATCAAGTCCAGCCCCCTGCCCAAAGCAGGACCAACCCCAAATCAAATGTCCCAGTCAGGGCTCTGTCAAGCCAGAAATTAAACACCTCTAGAGATGGAGATTCCACCCCCTCACTAGGAATCCCATCCCAGTGCTTCCCCACTCTCCTTGGGAAATGGTTTTTCTTAATATCCAACCTAGACCTCCCCCACTGCAACTTGAGACCATTGATCCTTGTTCTGCCATCTGTCACCACTGAGAACAGCCTCTCGCCAGCCTCTTTGGAACCCCCCTGAAGGAAGTTGAAGGCTGCTATCAAATCCCCCCTCACTCTTCTCTTCTGTGGACTAAATAAGCTCAAATCCCTCAGCCTCTCCTCAGAAGTCATGTCCTCCCGCCCCATAATGTTTTTCATTGCCCTCCACTGGGCTTTCTCCAGGGCGACCACATCCTTTCTGTAGTGGGGGCCCCAGAACTGGACACAATACTCCAGATGTGGCCTCCCCAGTGCTGAATAAAGGGGAATAGTCACTTCCCTGGATCTGCTGGCCATGCTCCTTCTAATGCACCCTAATATGCCATTGGGTTTTTTGAGTACAAGGGTACCCTGTTGACTCATGTTGTGCAACTGTGCTATTAAATCCTTGTGAAAGAGGAACAGGTGTGTATCTAGATGGGGGTGAATGAGGAGCGCAATCTGCTCCCATTTACATGGGTCTAATTCTAAATTAACCCATTTAAGTTCAGCGGCGCTAGACCACATTGCATAAAGAAGCTGAGGCTGCAAACACAAACATGAAGGATGTGTCACTTCCTGAAGATTAACCTCCACCCCATCAGTTTCTTCAAGGCAGCCTTGATCTCCTTGTTCCTTAGGCTGTAGATTACCGGATTCAGAAGGGGGGGGACCACGGCATAGAGAACACCCATCAGCAGATCCAGATTAGGTGCTGATCTAGAGGGGGGTTTCAGGTAGGCAAACACACCAGTGAAAAGTAACAAGGAGACCACAGCAAGGTGGGGGAGGCAGGTGGAGAAGGCTTTGTGCCGGCCCTGCTCCGAGGGGATTCTCAGCACCGCTCTGAAGATCTGAACATATGACACAAGGATGAAAACAAAACAGTTTAAACCTAAAAGCACACTAAAGCCAATAAGCGCAACTTCGCTGAGGTCCATGTCAGAGCAGGCCAGCTTGAGGAGCTGGGGGATTTCACAGAAGAACTGGTTGATGACGTTGGACTGGCAGAAGGGTAACCGGAAGGTGTTCCCATTGTGCAGGGCAGAATAGAACACACTAAAGCCAATAAGCGCAATTTCACTGAGGTCCAAGTCAGAGCAGGCCAGCTTGAGGAGCGGGGGGATTTCACAGAAGAACTGGTTGATGACGTTGGACTGGCAGAAGGGTAACGTGAAGGTGTTCCCAGTGTGCAGGGCAGAGTAGACAATACCAGCGAGCCAAGCACTGGCGGCCCTTTGACCACAGGCTCTCCTGTTCATCACCCGTTCGTAATGCAGGGGCTGGCAGATGGCGACGTATCGGTCATAGGCCATGACGGTGAGTAAGGCAAGATCAGTTGAAGTGAAGACAAAAAAGAGAAAGACTTGGGCAACACAGGCTGGGTAGGAAATAGACCTCGTGTCCAGGAGTGAGTTGACCATGGATTTGGGGATGGTGACAGAGATGGAGCCGAGGTCTAGGATGGACAGATTCACCAGGAAGAAGTACATGGGGGTGTGAAGATCGTGGTCAAGGGCTATGGCTGAGATGATGAGAAGGTTCCCCACCAGGGTTGCTAGATAAATCAATAGAAACACCACAAAGTGCAAAATCTGCAGCTCCCGGACGTCAGAGAACCCCAGGAGAAGGAACTCGGTCACAGTGCTTCGGTTGGACATTTTCTTTTTCAGCACATCGTGTGATGGGCGAAGAGGGAAGGCACAGACAGGGGTGGGGATTAGAGTCCCCTTGGTGCTATCTCAGAGTGTGAGTCCTAGAGGCACACAAACTCTCCTCTCTTGCATTGGTGAGTTACCAGATGGGTGTCAATTGGCCTGGATCCTCGACAATCTGCCGAGGTGAATCTGTTTGCACCATCTGAGGATCGGGCTCAGGATGGGGCTGGATTAAATGCAGAGCGGAGGATGGAGCAAAGCTTTGGGTCATCATAGGGTGACAATATTTAGAGAAAATGCAGAGCGGACGATGGAGCAAAGCTCAATCCCAGTGCAACCGCTTTGGGTCATCATAGGGTGACAATATTTCCCCAGGCTGAGTACGGGAAGCCTGGTCAGATTGTTGGGATTCCAGTGAGTTCAATGGCAACCAATCGTACAAACTTTCCAACGTCAAGCTGATGGAACACCTGTTAAAAAGAACAAATGGTGTCGTTGGCTTCTTCTCATTGACTTTCGTATGTTTAAGGCTTTGGGGTTCAAACAAAACCCACCACACACCTGCACGCCTCTCTCCCATGTGGGGATGAGTGGCTGACCCAACCCTTCTTTGCTGCCCCTCTCTGCCCTCCACGCCCAGCTGGGCTCCCAGGATAGACCCATTTCCCTGGTACCTGACACAGCATCTTCTTGAGGCCACATGCGGGAGAGTGTGTGGAGGTGCAGGGTCACATATCCCCTCCCCAGATTCCTGACAGGTGTGTCACCAGAATGTGGCTGGTAGTGGATTTTTGGGGGAAAGGGATGGGCGCAGCCCCAGCCACAGGAGAGAAGTGGAGGTGGGGAGAAAGGATGATGGGGCAGAGCTCATCTTTTCTCCTCCACACACCACCCTTCCCCGATGGCTGGATGCCTCTTGTCCCTTCCTGATGTGATGGTGGTAAAAGGCAGGTCACAGCTCCAGGTTGCTGCTGGCCACTGAGATTACCCAGCCAGCTCCTGTTCCCTGGATACAGTGCGGGCAGGACAGGGTTAAGCCCTAAGGATGCCTTGGGCACCAGGATGTCTGGTCACACGAGCTAGTAACACTCGTGGACCTCTCTGCTGCGTCATTTACCTCAGCCGCTTCCTGCCTGCGCAGGGCCGTGGGTCTGAGGACAGGCCCAACGAGGAACAGAACAGAACATCTCTGGTCATCCCTGACAGCGCCCCCAGCTCACACCCCTCCAGCGCATTATTGACAATCTGCAACCTGACCTGGAAAAGCCTCCAGCTCACACCCCTCCAGCGCATTATGGACAATCTGCAACCTGACCTGGTAAACCAGCCCCCCTCCTCCGCACAGGCCTTGGAACAGGCCAGTCCTCACCTGCAGGCAGCTCCCAACCTGAAAAAAATTAAATCCAGCAACTGCACAGCACACCCCCATTCTACTCACCCAGGAGCCCAGCCCTGCAATAAAGCGCATTGCCGACTCTGTCCACACATCTACACAAGTGACCCCATCATGGTCCTCACCATGTCAGCTACCACATCAGGGATGCAGACAACTGCACATTCGCCAATGTGATCTATGCCAGCAAGTGCCAGCAATGCCCCTCGGCCGTGTGCATTGGCCAGACCAGTCTCTGCCACAAAGGAGACATGGACACACGTCAGACATCAGAAACAGTAACGCACATAAACCTGTGGGGGAGCATTTTAACCTGCCTGGGCACTCAATCCTGGATTTAAAATTCGCCCTTCTTCTAAAAAGGAATGTCACCAGCCAAGTACAGAGAGACTCTACAGAACTGGAATTTATCGACAGATTTGAGATCACTACCCTGGCCTGGACATTACCTGGTCGATGCATTGCACAGCCTCCTGCCGCATCAAATGCCATGTATGGGACACATCCAGCCCACTTAATTAGCCTCATTGACACGGGTCCTACAGTGGACAAGGACTGCTTCTGCTGTTCTATAGAGCTCTTGGCTTCTCTCATTTCCACTCCCATTCACCTGAGGAACCAGGTTTTGCCCTCGCAAGATCATGACCCCATCTCTATATTGTGGTTAGTCTCTGTGCTGTTAGTACATGTCTGCCTGCTCCCTCATCCACAGTGTGTGTGTAGCCAGCGGCAGGGTGGAACAAAGGAGATGGGGTGAAAGCAAGAGATGTCACTGCTAAACCCACCGAGCTCCTCTGTGTCTGCAGGATGGGCTAAGAGACACGGGCTGCGGCAGGGGTCTTCCAGTCGCTCTTTTCCAGTCAGTTTTACCATCCAATGGGGGTCCCATAGATCAAGTGGGTTCAGATTTCAGAATTATTGGACAAGATGAACGTTTCCAACCCGGTTTCAAGCTAGCTCCCAGTGTGGGGGAATCGTATGCAAATTATTTCAGAAGAATTCACGGGTTTTAGCTGAAGACATTTCCCCGGGAAATGCATGATTCTTGAAACACAAGCTTCAGAGGGGCAGCTGTGTTCATCTGTAACTTTAAAAATGATGTGTGGTCCTGTGGCACTTAAGAGACTAATAAATATATAGATATAAATTCATGAACTTTCTTGGACAAAAACCACTTCCACAGATTAAACAGCTTTTACCCCTGGAAGCTCAGGAATCTATCTATCTATCCCCATACACCCCCTCCATCCATCCATCCATCTATCCCCATACACCCCCTCCATCCATCCATCCATCCATACACCCCCTCCATCCATCCATCCATCCATCCATACACCCCCTCCATCCATCCCCACACCCCCTCTATCTATCTATCTATCTATCTATCTATCTTAGTCTCTAAGGTTATGTCTACACTACCACCCTAGTTCTAACTAAGTTGCCACAGAACTACTCGATGTTTTGAAACACAAGACACGTCTTGGAAAATTTAAAACGTAAAAAAAATTTTGGCCCTCAGTTCAATGAAAATTTGTCAGGATTCTACAATATCTGCCGTGAGCCAGTTCTCACTAAACTAAAACTGGCTGGCATATTTGGACTGGCGGAAGGGTGACATGAAGATGTTCCCAAATCAAAAAGTTTGGGTTTCACACAATTGCTGTAACAGGGTCCCTTGTTCTCAGCTGGGGGAAGAAGAATACCAGCCCCGTGAAGCTCTCAAAGCTGGAGTGAGTGCTGTGACCAGTCCTGCAGTGTTCCCTTTGTAACTCGAGTCTAGTATGAAATGGCCCCCAGCTAGCCGCCCCTAAACAGAGTTAGCGGAAGTCACACACTCACCGTGCTGGGCTTTGCCGGACAGTCCCCTGCTTGGAATCTATTTCACCACCAGGATTCTCAGTCGCTGCCTAGCCACGGACCGGCCAGCGATGCCCCATTGTGGTCACTTTGCCCTCCACCTGCTCCTGGATGCTACAAGCTGCCAACATGGCCCCAGCTTGTTCTGGGGTAAATAGCCAACTCCGGTCTCCAGGGCGGGGAGATCTCACCCAGCAGCAAACCGCCCTGACAGGATGCTTCCGCCGCCTCTCACTCCCTGAGGGAACAGCCCCACGTGCCCTGCGATGGCAGCGGCCCTGGGAGGAGCCTGGCTGCAGACAGAGCCGGGCTGAAGCCCAAAGGGGATGAAGGAGATTGCAGAATGAACTCTGTGTGGGGAGCAGAGATGTGACCTGCTGCAGCTCAGAGCCCGGTGGCCCGACAGCCCCGGCTGGCCTGGAGCAGCCTGGGCCTCCCTGAGCCCCACAGAACCCGCTCTGGGGGAGCAGAGACGTTTGGTCTCCTGCGTTCCTGAAATCCCTGAGTGGGCAGAGACCTCAGGAGTCACCGAGTCCAGCCCCCGGCCCAAGGCAGGACCAGCCCAACACAACCATCCCAGCCAGGGCTTGGTCAAGCCGGGACTAAAATCCTTCCTCTTGGGGCTGCACCAGATGCTCATGGGATGCAGTCCCCAGAGGACCCCACAGGCTGGCCAATGTTTTGATGATGGCCACTAAGAAGCAGCTGGAGAAAAACTCCACGTCCTAAACTGGTATCAACCGATCCAGTCCCATTGAGTTCTGGGCAAGCTGCAAGTTCCTCCTTGGGTGTCAATGGAGCTGCTTGGATTTCTGTTACCTGGGGATCTGGCCCTAAGGCTCCCCCAAGACCTGACACTGAATCATAGATCCCAGGGCTGGCAGAGACCTCAGGAGTCAGGGAGTCCAACCCCCTGCCCAAAGGGAAACCGAACCTCACCGGAGCAGCTGCTGATTTGCACCACCTCTGGTTCTTGACCTTCTTTGCAAATGGAGCTATGGCTGGGTCTCATTAATGATAATTCCA